GCAAAAATGAGTGGATATTTTTTAAAAAGGAAGTGAACGGGAGGAAGGAAGATGGAGGAAAATGTGCAGCAATGAATGAAAATCCAACTTTTCTTTTAACTTTCATTAAAATCACAACTAAAATTTTAAAAAACAATACAAAATAAATAAATGGAAAAACCACCCCAAGTTTGTTGTTGTTAGATGCCGTCTAGTAGTCTGGGATTTGGTGACTCTATGAACAACAGACCGGAGCCTTGCCCTGTCAGGCACACAGTTTAGGGGCCGTCTAGTTGAACATAACTCACAGAGACCTAAGAACAGTAGACCTGCACCCTACTTTGTCCTGTGACTTTCTCACAAGCTCTGACACAGAGTTTAGTCTTGGGGGAATCAGGGTCCACGTTGGATAGACAAGAAGTCAGGAAAGAAACAGCAGAAGGCTTCAAGTAGCTGGCTCAACCTGAACATCCCGCCCAAAGCAGATAGAACTCACTTCCCCAACCCCAGAAGGGTCCCGCTTTCCCAGCAGGCCTGGCTGCAGTGATGGACAGGGAAGAGGCCCTGGGCTCATGCTCGCATCAAGCTGCGTGCACGTGGGAGCACTCCCTCTGGTCCTTCCGCAAACTTTGAAGTAGCAGAAGCTCAGTCTAACCTGCAGGGCCACGATGGATCTCGGATGAATGCTCCTGGGGACATTCTAGAAAATGAGAGAATCCATCTCTCCCCAACAGGGCGGATCAAAGCCCAGTGCCCTCACAGGGATCCCACGCCTGCAGCTCTGAGAAGGAAGATGGACTGCTTATCTTACCAGCAATAAATCAAATCCAGCCCTCAAGACATCAGCCTCCAAGTTCAAGGGAAACAGCCTGGATTCCAGCAGAGAGAAACCTGTACCTAAGCAACCCTGAGGAACTTGTCCACAATGAAGCCTTTAGTGTCCTTCTCTTTTTAGGACGATTTCATGGTGCTTAACCTTGACATTCCAGAGAATAGGGTCCTGTAGCCTCGGCACCAGCAGTTCACTCTTTCAAGTATTTGTTTATGACCGAGAAGTTCACAAAGGATGATCCTCTGTCGATTCTCCTATACATGTAGATATATTTATTTGTCGTTGTCGTTAGGTGCAGGTGAGCCAAGTACTACTCATAGCGACCCCATGAATAAGAGATCTGAATGCTGTCCTGTTCTGTGCCGTCCTCACAGTCTCTGACACGCTCAAGCCCAGTGCTGAAGTCACTGGATCAATCCACCTGGTTGAGGGTCCTCCTGTCCTTCACTGACCCTCCACCTTTCCAAGCATGAAGTCCCTTACCAAGGAATAGCCTCTCCCAGCAACAAGCCCAAAATATGAGACAACATTTCATCAGCCTTGCCTCCAAGGAGCACTCGGTCTGCACCTTCTCTAAGACATACCTGTTATCATTTTGCCAGACTATGGAATCTTCAGCACTCTTCTCCAACATCACAGTTCAAAGGCATCAATTCTTTTGTCATCCGTAGTTACCATCCAGCTCTCAGATGCTTAGCAAGTGACTGAAAAGATCATGGTCAGAATCAGGCACATCTTAGTCCTCAGACCAACATCATTGCTCCTCAGTAATTTGGAGAGGTCCCTGACTACACGCTTTCACAGTGTCATACGTCTCCTGATCTCCTTACTACTGATAACAAGGGTATTGACTGTGGAGCCAAGCAAGATGAAATCCTTGATTGTCTCAATCCTTTTTCTGTCCATCATGATATTGTCTGTTGGTCCAGTGGCTAAGATTTTTGTCTTCTTGATGTTGAAATGCAACCTGTATTGAAGGCTGAGGTGTTTAACCTTCTATAGCAAGTGCTTCAAGCCTTCCTCACTTTGAGCAAGCAAGGTGTGTCATCTGTACAACAAAGGTTACTGATGAGTCTTCTAATCTTGATGCTGTATTTTTCTTCATTGAGTCCATTTCCCAAACAATTTGCTCAGCATACAGATTAACTAGGTATGGATAAAGGCTACCACCCTGATGCACACCTTTCCTGATTTTCAACCATGCGGTCCTCTCCCTTGCTCTGTTCACAGAACATCCTGTTAGTTTAGGTACAGGTTTCACGTGGGCTCAGTCAAGTGCTCTGGAATTCCCATTCTTCTCAAGTTTAGCCATGATTTTTTATGATTCATGTAGTCAAATGCCTTTTCATGGTCAATAGAGTACAAGTATACCTGTGTGCCTTATATAATAAATGCATTTACAGCATATGTTGTTGTTGTGTGCCGTTCAGTTGGGACTGACCCATAGCTGACCCTCAGTGGCAGTTAATCACAGGAGAGGAGATTGTCCACCCTTCTCCCTCTGAGCTGTTGGATTCAATCTGCATGCCTCTGGGATTGCAGTGCAGCTTCTTACCACTCGCATGTGGGAGCTCTGGTGGCCTACTGGTCAGAAGTGACACTGCAATCCCAAAGGTGTCAATTCCCCAGACGCTCTGTGGAAGGAGGAGCGATCTCCTCCCATGTGTTCTTCTGCCTCCGAAAACCCACTGCAGGGTCATCTCTGGGTCTGTTCTGACTTGACGGCACATAACAAACCCATATACTCGCAGCCAGAGCAAGAGCTCTGGGGGCCGAGCGGTAAGACGCTGCACTGCCAAACCAGACGTAAGTGGTTCAAATCCACCAGCCACTCCATGAGAGAAAGATGATCAATCAACCAATCATCTGCCATGTGACCTATTGCCTCTGAAAACTCATTGGAAGGTCAGCTATGGGTCGGTTCTGACTGACAGCCTGACAGAGCACAAGCGCAAACACATACACACACACACACGGAAAGAGATCAATGCCATCTGCTTTCTTAAAAAGCAGACAAACAAGAAATAAGCTGTTTGGCTTCCTGTTATCGTCAGGGAGATGATTAGCCAGGAAATGTTGGCACTACCACAAGCACCAGACTGAGGAAACCAAATCACAGGCTGTCAGTCAAACAGGTAAGTGGACTGGGCTGTCTGCATTATCCAGGGATGGAGAAGAAGGGGAAGAAACGCCGGATGTGCTGATGCTGTGAGCTGCACGGGTCACCACGGCAACCACCCACACCGCGGGAGTGGCCCTGGCACAGAGAGATGTGTGTCGGGCTGCCAACTGAGTGATTTCAAATCCACCAGCTGCTCCGCGGAGAAGATAAAGATCTGCAGCCTGGAAAAACCAATGAGGGGCTGAAAACCGGTGCCAGGACCAACGTGATGGGACTGAGTGGGTGGGCTCAACTACATAAAGTTATTTAAACTCATATTATTACTAATAATCACAGTTAAGCAAAATTGAAACGTAGCTTCCTAGCTGCCTTAACTGCATTTCAAGTGATCAACACAGGAGGATGTCAGAATTGTATCCTTCCAACCTTGAAGCTGCTGATCAAATAATCCAGGAAACTGGACTCTATGAAGAAGAAATCAGTGGTATCAGGATTGGAGGAAGCCTCACCAACAACCTGCTCTATGGAGGTACACAGCCTTGCTTGGGGAAAGTAAAGAGGAGTTTCATTTAATGAAGGAGATTACAAATTATAACCTTCAATATGACCTTTTCCCCAGTGCCACAGCTCTACCTGGGACACTTCAGATGGGCCCCCACAGGAGAAGCGGAGCTGAGCATAGGAGCATCCACTCCAACGCCAGGCCCAGTGAAGACGGAGGAGTGAAGACGGGACGCAGGAGCTGTGCAATCTCTCTCAATCGCCTTCTCTCCCCCCACCCCCTTCCCTCTCTCCCTTCCTCTCTGTCTGTCTCCCTGTCTCTCTTCATATCTCATTCTCTTTCCCTCACTCCCGTCTCTTCCTCCCTTACTCTCTCTGTATCTCTCTCTTCCTCCCTCTCTCTCCTTCCTTCTCTGTGTCTATTTATCTCTCCCTCTCTGTCTCTTTCTCATGCTGTAGTTTCCCTCCCTCCCTCTCCTCCTCCTTGTCCCCCGTCCCTCTCTCTCCCCCTCCTTGCCTCTCTTTCTCTCTCTCAGCTTCCCTGCTGTTTCTTCTCCGCTGTGGCATCACTGTGGCTGCCAGGTACGTTCTCTGGCACATGCTAACTTATTAGTAAATGGTTGTGAATGGAATAACTTAAACACCCACCATGTTTTACATGAAGAACTTTAAATATTTCCACCTACTCTAAGCAGGACATGCTACTGATAAAACTGCCATGCTGAGGAAAAAAAAAAATCTCCTTTTCCTCGGTTTTCCTATCCTGAGGCCTTGAGCTGACATGTGTGAGGACCGGGCCTGCTTCCATGGATACCAGACTGCGCAACAGCCAGCAGCCCAATTTATCAACCTCAACTCAAGACTTCTCCACACATATCGCATAAGGCTGTAGGCAACAACCTACTGACAAAAGTGGAGGTCCAACGCAATGCTTCTACTCAAGGTGTCCCCCCTAAGACGGCCTCCTGCATGCGATCCACATTTCAGCCAAGCAGGGAGGCATTTAAGGTTTCAGATACTTGGAACACAGGAGAGAGGAGTCAGCAGCGCTACTGTCAAGGAAAAGCCTTATGCTGTGGATGGCGATGACCCTCTGTGTATGTGGGGCAGAGAAGCAACTAGAGTCTAACCTCTATATGCAATGAGAAGGCAGAGGGGGCCAGACACACTGAGTAACAGATAGTCCTGTGCTGTGTGGGAATCTGACCAGGGGATGGCAGTGCAGGGGAGCTGACCAGTGGGGCTGACTGGAGGAGGAGCTGACCAGTGGACCTGGCTCCAGGAGGAGCTGACCAGTGGGGTCTGTCTGGAGGAGGGGCTGACCAGTGAACCTGGCTCCAGGAGGAGCTGACCAGTGGGGTCTGTCTGGAGGAGGGGCTGACCAATGGACCTGGCTCCAGGAGGAGCTGACCAGTGGGAGCTGACTGGAGGAGGAGCTGACCAGTGGGTCTGTGGAGGAGGGGCTGACCAGTGGACCTGACTCCAGGAGGAGCTGACCAGCGGGTCGGTCTGGAGCGGCTGACCAGTGGACCTGGCTGGAGAAGCCATGTGTTCATGGGAACTCACAGTAGGCACAGCCGTAGACCTCAGTGCGCAGCCCGATGCGGCCCTCGGCGTTCCAGTCCAGCGGCACCAGACGCACATATCGCGCGGTCACAGGGTGCTGCAAGTCATGCCTGACCACACCATCTGAGTTGACATTCCCAGGAAAGGCCTGTGGAAAAACAGAGGGCAGACATTAGGAAAACAGTAAGGTTGGATGTGAGCTCACTTCACCAGCCAAAACCAATCCAGATCTCACACCCAGCAGCAAGAGTTCACACTCTCCAAGCCCTGTGAGGTCTGAATTCAGCTTTTACAGCCCTTCACTGAAAACAAGCCCACATCCAGGTGGGGGAAGACATGGTTAAATTGTTGCTATATGCAGATGATAGGTGGTCTACACAGAAAACCCCAAGGAATCAACAAAAACCCTGTTAGCGCTTGTGGACCAATTTAGTATGGTGGCTGGATACAAGATCAATATCCACAGTCAATGGGATTCCTCTGCAGTAACAAAGAAAACCAAGAAACAATATCATTTACAATAGCCAAACACAAATTGAGATACTTGAGAATAAACCTAACAAGAGGCACAAAAGATCTGTACAGAGAAAACTACAGAACATTTCTGTGAAAAAACAATAAAAGACCTAAATAAATGGGAAAATGTTCCCTGTTCATGGATAAGAAGACTCAATACTGTGAAAATGACAGTCCTACCAAAAGCAATCTACATGTTCAAAATAATCCCAATACAAATACCAAATTCACTTTTCAAGGAAATTAAAAGAGAAATTGTCAAGTTTATTTGGAGTGGGAAGAGACCCCAAATAAACAAAGCACTTTTCAGGGGGAAAAATGATGTGGGAGGCATAACACTCCCTGACCTCAAAACCTTCTACATAGCAGCAGTAACCAAAACAGCATGGTTCCTGTAAAATGATGGGCACATAATGCCATATAATGACAATGGAACAGAATTGAGAATCCAGAAATGGAGTTATCTCTTTACGGTCAACTGATATTCAACAAGGAAACAAAATGTATCAAATGGGGAAACAAAACCATCTTCAAAAAATGGTGCTGGCAAAACTGAACTAGTGCTACCCTTGAAAGTTGAAACAGGATCTACATCTCACACTATATAAAAAAAAATCAACTCAAGTTGGATCAGATACCCAGGAGTAAAGCCTAAAACCATAAAGTTTATAAAAGACAAACCAGGACCAAGCTTAAAAGGCCTAGTCTATGGCATAAAGAGGTTAAAAATACAGTGAGCAATTAACAACCTGGAGAGGCTAAAATGAATGAAAGGGACTGTCTAAGTCCCTCTGCTCATCTAAGGCACAAACAGAGACTCGTGGACCAATGTTCATAGCAGTGCTATTTCATCATTGCAAGAACATGGACACAGTCCAAGTGTCTAACTACAATCTAACGGATTGAAAGTGAGGGCAAATTTGCACAATGGAATACTACGCAGCATCCTGCAGGAGCAATGATTTTGAAAATCAACACCCAACTTGGGAGGGACTAGAGAGCACTGTGCTGTGTGAACTAACTCAGTCCCATAAGGATAAATACTATACAAGACCATTACTGTAGAAATAGGAAGATAACTAGTAAAACATGTTTGAGGATACAATGTGGGGAGGGGAGAGCAGAGGTGTGAGGATGGGAAGAGGGGTGATCACAGGGTCACAGAGTTTGATGGGTAGAGGGAGGGGTGGGTAAAGGAAATGAGAAAGATCTGGTGTTATAAAACAATGTATACAAACTTTGTACGTAAAGCAGTATAAAATAAAAATTTTATTTAAGAAAAAATCCCAAATAAACTTTTTCCAATAAGGTGAGAAGAAAATCTATTAACTGGGAAATAAACCTTTGACAATACCTTTCATACAAGGGTCGTATATCTCAAGTTTACAGAATCCTACAGGGCCTGCACAAGAAAAAGACTGATAACACAATTACAATATGGGCAAAAGTCATGGACAGACTTTTCACAGAGTAAGACATTCAGATGACCAACAGACACATGAAGAAATGCTCAAAATCTTTAGCAATGAGAAAGATTGAAATAAAAACTTCAATGAGGTAACATCTCACCCCAGCAGCAGTGGCAAAGTTTAGCAGGGCAACAAGTAGTAAATGCTGGAGAGGATGTGGAGAGGTGGGAGCTCTCATAGACTGTTGGCAGTTACAGTTGGCAGGACTGTAAAATGGTACAACCACTCTGGAAGGCAGTTTGGCATTTCCTCAAAAACTTGAACATACAAACTCCATATGACCCAGTTATTCCACTGCTTAGAATATACCCGAGAGAATGAGACCTGAAGCACAAACGGAGACTTGTACACCCATACTCATAGCAGCATTATTCACCATCAGAGAACATGGAAACAGCTTCTAAGTCCAACCACAAGAAAAAGGATTGAGACACTATAATACATTCACACGATGGAATACTATTCAGCACCAGGAGCAATGCTTTAGTAAGTTACAACCCAACTTGGGAGGACTGGAGAGCATTATGCTGAGTGAGTGAACTCAGTCCCAAAAGGACAAATACCACATAAAACTATTTTTGCTGAATGAGTATGAGGATCTAAGAGCGGAAGGCTGGGAGCAGAGGGGTGAGGATGGGTGGGGGTGAAGGATGGTTAATCATAGGGTCCCACAATTTGATGTCAGGGGGGAGTGAAGGAAATGGGAAAGATAGGTGTGAGAAACAATGTATAAGAACTTTATGTAAATAAACCAGTATTTTCTAAAAAAAAAAACAACACACCAAAACAACAACAAAACCTCGGTTCAAAACCGCCAGATGCTCCGCTGGAGGAGGGGCAACCTCCCGCCGTGCCAGTCGGATCTGACTCGATGGTACACCAGAAGGAAAGAAAAAGAAATAAATAAAAACTTGAAAAACCCAAAACTTAATGCATGGGGGTGCTGTACGAAACACAATGTGAATGAAGAACAGTGTGATAGGAAACCAGTAAAAAAATAATTTAAAAATGTATAAATAAAAAGAAACTCAGATTTACGTGAGAAGCTTCCCCATGTTCTCAGGAGCCCTTTCAGTGACATAAATGCACCAACAGGTTGAGATGGGACCCTCTGCAGCACCCAGTGGAACAGTCAAACCCCCAAACCAAACAGCCCAGGCCAGTCGAGTCGAGGGGCCTCACAGTGACCCTGGAAGGAGCTGAACTTCCCTGTGGGGAACGGGCTTCCAGGCTCTGGTACCAGGTGCCCCAGCTTTGTCCCCGCCACTGCTGATGGGTCCAGACCTGGGCCTTTTGGTTGGCTACAGAACACTTCAGCCACAGCACTACCTGGCACTTTCAAAATACATTTCAACCATGATTCCAAACGTGCTGCATGTGAACCACACAATCAGGTTTTTAAAATGCAGTCCTCTCCCTCTCTGAAAATCATCTGTCCTGACGCTGTGAGGCCTCTCCTGACCAGAGTTGCTTATCAGTTCAGAGCTTGCCCCGTTTCCATGGCAATGGAAGATGGGGGTCAGGGGTCTCCGGAGGCTCTTTCTTCTGAGGGACACCTTTGACTCTATGTAAATGCTACCCTGATTTGAAAGTTGTGTATTCATTAAATGTCCATCAATTTCTATTACTGGCTTAATGTAATTTGTATGTTTGTCTGTTTTAATACAGTGTTGTAAAGAGATACATTTTGTACTGGAATATACAATTTAACACAGTACTGACATAATAGTAATTTCATCTTCTTCCCTCTCAGTACAGAACTTTTTGGCCCCAAGAATAAGTTCTCATTAATCATATTTTATTTAGAAATTTCATACTGTCTTTTCTTTCCCTTTTTTCTGAGCACAGAACAAATGGATATTCCTTGGATGTTGTGCTGTTGTAAAGTGCAGCCATAAAGAGTATGACTCACTGCAACCCTGTGAACAACAGACCTGCAGCCTGACCTGTCCTGACCGACCTGCAGCCTGACCTGTCCTGAGCGATCCTCGTGATAACAACAGACCTGCAGCCTGACCTGTCCTGACAGATCTGCAGCCTGTCCTGTCCTGACAGACCTGCAGCCTGACCTGTCCTGACCGACCTGCAGCCTGTCCTGAGCGATCCTCGTGATAACAACAGACCTGCAGCCTGACCTGTCCTGACTGACCTGCAGCCTGTCCTGAGCAATCCTCATGGTAATAGACCTGCAGCCTGACCTGTCCTGTCCTGACAGACCTGCAGCCTGACCTGTCCTGAGCGATCCTCACAGTCTCGGGCACCCTTGAGCCCACTGCTGCAGTCACTGTGGTGTCAATTCATCCCACTGGGAGTCTTGTTCTCTTTTACCCTCAACTTGTCCAAGCAGCATGTCCCTTTCCAAGGAATATCTCCTGGCCACATGCCCGAGGTATGTGAGATGAATACTTTTCTCCACGGAGCACTCTGGTTGCACTTTCTCTTTGGCAGTCCGTAGGATATTCAGCACTCTTCTCCAACACCATGAGGGTCGTTAACTTGGCAAACATCTATAAGTTCTGTATTTCCTGACTGGGGGAGCACTAGAGCTGCCATTATGTAAAGCCAGATGAGAGCAACCCCCCCACAGAAGGGCAGAATCGTGTGTGGGGCTGTTCTTCTGAGGTTTCTCTGGGTGGGCATGGACCTCGGGTTTTCTGCTGAGAGCATTAAGCATTACGATGGATAAAGGATCTCCTGTCTTTGGTAGAAACATAGAAATTATGTAAAAGGTTTAGTAAAGCAGTAAGTTACCTGCTCAGAGAAGACACACTTAGTATTCTTGTGTCGGTCCATGGAGCAAATCATGTCCTCTGACCCATGTGTCACCTTGTCTAGGTCTCAACTCCTGGGATTGTGGGATTGTCAGATTGTCCTGCATGTTATCATCTGGTGTAATTACCCTCATTTTGTGATGTGGTAAATTCTAGCCTCTGCTCGTGGCTAGTGATGCAGGATTAGATTATGTCAGGGCAGATCAGTTTATACTTATTATGCTAATTAGGAAGGGTTAGAGAGAGAACCAACATTCCAATTCAGTCACAGCCCCAATTCCATGTAAGAGCAGTTTCCTTGGGAGTCAGCCCATATCATCTTTCATCTTACCAGGGACAAAAGGAAAAAGAAGCAAGCAAAGTGGGAGAGGCCTCCATATCACCAAGGAGCA